AACCAAAGAAATTGGTCTCAAGAGTACGGAGCAGTCGGCAAGTTGATAATAAACATTGCGGTCGATGATAAAGATTCGGTGATTACGAGTTTAACAACCCATATTTTACCTCCATTTTAGATTGCTTAGTTTTTTAACCCAAATTTCAGTTGATGATGCATCCTCCTTGATCATCAAGCTTATCACATTTCATTAAATTAATTGGTTATTGGATTATCTTCTGCAAACAGTGAGAGACTGCTCTTTGACGCTTGTTCTTACAATGAGATTAATTTCGTACGTGAGATCATCATCCTTCATCCATTACCTACGGCGGATAGGTAGAAGTCGAAGTTGAAATTCTTGTTGAGATCTGATCGATATGCTGATAAGTTTTGCGTGATTTCCTTAGCAGCCAATGATGATTGATGTTGATTCATGTTCATATTTATCGATAAAATAAACGACGGCTGAATTGTGTTTACTGAATTTGCTTTTTGATGATGTAACGAATTTGTATGCGTGATTGCGTTCACGATCTGAGTAAATGTGCTATTATCAACACAAAATCTGTGTTATCATCTGCTTCACGCCTCCGCAATTTCTTCATTTCATCTTCATTTCAATGCAATTGCTAATCGTAACTGCACTTCCTGTGATCGTCATATTTCCTTCACTTTCGATTAATTTTAATTTGCTAGTGTTCCTTGAGCATATGTAGTGCTCATTGAGATTGATGTCTAGGAGTTCAAAAATTTGATGATGGTTGGCTAAACGTACAAGTTTATGGTCTAAGCTGTGGTAGCTTTTCAAATTTGAGTTTGACGTTTATTTTTATGTCTTTTTTCGATTCGCCGCTTTCGTTTATGATGATTTCACTGGCAATTTTGCATATACCTTTGTAATCCCACAAAAAAATTCAGGAAGTTATCGCTTCAATCAGGATTAGGCTCTTTTAACTGCTCGACTCATCACTTGAGGTTTTCCGGAACGCTACGAGCGGCGCGATAAGCATTTTCCTCGAGATGTCAGCTGAGGTTTGTCTATTTTTTGATATCGATTGACGGTGAACCTGATGTTCGTAATTCTGAACTTTGTCTTTATTGTATTTCATCTCTGTTTTTTTTTTCATAAATTCATCTCTGAGCATCCTATTGTATCATTGTGCCAAAATTCCTCGAATATAAGCCTCGAGGTTTTTATTTTATGGGTCCTCAATGGATTAATTGTGTTGCTTAGGAGGTTAATCAGTTTATTGCAAACAAGGCGGTCATTTTACAATGCATTATCCAGAAAACACCCTACCCTATCAACAACTACACACATCGTCATTAAGGAGCTGTTTACAGCTTCTGCAGCCATAACTGAACTCTTGGTTTGGACTTAATAAGTAAGGACATATCAAAAATTGCTGCTTCAACGGTTTCTCTTGCCGAAGTATGGAACGCATAGTAGATAGGATTCACCGAACACATCGCCATCGTTAGAAAACAGTACTGAGGCATCATAAGAAGCATCCAAAGCAGGTCGATGAACGTCTGATATACAATGCATTATAATATAACAATAGGATAAAGTTTAGGGGGAGGGAGAGTTATCTTTTTTTGCATTCCTTGTAGAGAGGAGCTTCTTTGAAAGGGTTTGACCTATGAAGAAATACGGCGTTTTTTTTCGGTACTTATATTTCGTTGTGGACTAACTTCGATTTATGTAATGTTTTTTGCTTACGGATTCAAGAGTTAGTGTAAGCCTTAATTGGACACACCTGATCCTGAGCATAATCCAATCATAAGCAAGTGTTAGTCAAGGCGGAAACTCTACGTCGGTTCCCAGCATTTTTTATTCTGGTGAAATCACAGATAGAGATACAATTACCGTTCTTTTCAATCGCACTTGTGAGTGTCCGTCGTTATTGATTTGGCTATACCTATGAAGTGTGAAGTATTACGCATTGAATTGTCAGTTTCAGTGCTTCAGTCGACTTTCTAATTTCTTTTGAACTCATTGTACAATTGTGACCTTACAGTCAGTTGAAATTTTCATGGATAAAGAGTGCGTAAAAGAGGAGTTATCCGGTACAGTCTGACTCGTGAATACTATAAGTTCGCAGCAGAACGAGACCTTACGAAGTGTTCACAGCGTAAGCTGTAGTCTTACCATTTATGCTTGTCCATGATCTATACCCTATCATCTCATGCCTATATAACATATGTCAATAGCGCGGTGAAATGAATCTACAAATTATCACTTAACATTTCGATTCAATTCTCAAGGAATTGTTCCAACAGCTATCATCGCCAGGTAGCGAATATGCGTATTTGATCAGCAATATTTAGCTGTATAAAGGCGAGCAAACATTTACGCCGTCTTTAAAGTTATCAAACTTTACTCGAATAGTTTGAACAACGAATATGTGAACATCTTGAAAATCTTTAATGAAATGTGTTCGAATATGTGTGAATGTTTTGTTGGTGGAAATAAAAAGCCATTTGAAAAGTTCGAGACGGGAAAAGCCATGGGAAGATTCCATCTGAAAGCAGTATGCGGAGTTGTCATTTTTTAAATGTTGAAATATTGACGACGTACTGAACAAATCGTTAGACCTCTGCATGGATTTCGTTGGAGAACTAATTAAGCAATGAGAATATACTTATTAAATTTTCAGTCTGCTTATGAAAATAAGTAATAGAACCATAATTAGAGGCCACTGAATCACATTTAGTGCTTACAGCTGAGTTTGATGGAGCTATGGTAAAAACGGTTAGGATGTTCGATGTTAATTTGTCGTATAAAAAAAAAGCAGGAGCAATCACCGTTGCAGCATTTCTCAGTGCGCTCCAGAGTATGTTTATATGTAATACATATTTTGTTTACATTGTTCACTGATGATTGTTGTACGTTTTGCGTAAAATGTTCGTTGTGTTTCGTTGTGCCTTACACAACTACATTGGCAGGCAAGCAGGCCTCTAGTTTTGATGTTGTGAGCAGAAGTCGGTTGGTCGGTCATTAGAGCAGCGATAGTGATGTGCTATGGTCGAGCAAGAAAGAATTATTTGTGTATTATTGTTTGCACGTGCAGTATTCGTTTCCTTCTCTCGTCCTGTATATTTGACTGCTTTTTCTTGAACTTCCATATATACATATATATATATA